AAAAAAACATTCTGGGGATTTCTCAGGTTTAAAAACAAACCAAAAAAAAGCATACAGAAAGAGAAATATATAGCAAATAAATAGCTGCATTAAGGAGGCAGAAGATCCCATACTGGAGTAAAAAGAAAAAAACTGTTTTTCCTCCCGGTGTCAATATTCGGGTCCTCAGTGCAGGTGAAGACTGACTTTTAAATAGAATATGATTGACTCTATCGCTATTAGAAAAACGTAATCTGGAAGAAACAGAGACATCCAGGCATCAACTGTTTAATGAGCCCTTCAATCATCCAACCCTTCTTCTCATAGCTGACCAATTTTAAAGTAAAGCTGCTTATCAGTGCTTTGGGAGTTGTCAAAGTATATCCAGTTTATACGTACAAATACCAACAAGAATATCAACAAATAACTTTAATAATTTACAAGTATGAACAAATAATATGAAGGTTGTATGTTGTATAAAAAAATAGTATAATATTACTCAAGAATATAACAAGTCTCTAAACAGAACAGTGCTGTTCACAATATATTCGCTATGCAAATGTAAAGTCACTATGTAAAAATATACAATATGTGAGTCAGTCTACAAGTGCATGGCAATAGCTGTAGAATATATTTTCTTTTTTTTTTTAAAGCAGTATAACAACACTATGTGGACATGAATTATAAAAAGAGTTGTATAAAAAACAGTATACTCAACAGTCATTTTATTCTATGCATGTGTTTCATTAGGCTCAGGGCCTTATCAGGGTTTGCTCATTCTCTTTAACAAATGACATTTTAAAAAGAAAAACAAAATATAATGGTACAAACATTTTAGTTGACACATTGTTAAAACATTACTGCAGCATTTTAAATCCAGAGGATGTCCAACAAAAATTCTGGTTGGAACAAACTACACGTTTGACCAGAACATTGTCATTTCATTTTCAGACACACGGTGGTTTAATTTTTGCTTTCATATGTTTGGAGATATTGTTTAACATGAGTTTGAATAAATGTAACATGTTTGTCACCGTCATAAAAAACATGATACACTAGTGTTATGAATCAAGTGTCAGTATGAGAGGCCCCATGGGGCAAAACTTACAAACCCTCTCACACATACTATCAAACTCGATATGATTGTAACGGAAGTTAACTTAAAATTTCAGTTTCTGATTGGACCCCAGGCAGGAGAAGGCGGGTTTTCACAGACAGAAAAATAGCTGAGAGGCAGCGACTCGCAGAGGCAATGAATATTTTAAATGACATCGTTAGCGCAGAAGTGTTGGACAGAAGCCGACAGCCAGCATCGGAAACCCCATCTATCAATTCAGTAAAGCCAGCCTGCACTGGATTTCAATGTGCACGACGGAGAGAAGTTTAAAGTGCGAATCAAACACAAACCGGAGGTGCGCTTTTATTTTGAAAGGAGAGTGCCGTAACTTGTGCTGTCGTGCACATTAACACGTATGTGAGTTCACTAGGACACACTCAAGCTAACAGACCATGTAACACTGGTGAAATGTAGTGTGCGTAGCTAAATGCTAGATAAATTATGTATTTATCTATGTATTGCATGCACACTGGAAAGCCAAACTCACAATTTAAGTCAATTAATTGATTTAAATAATAAAACTGAAATTCATTCAATTTAATAAAGCCTTGAGATGTGCAAAGCTGAGTTATTTCCCATCAGCAACACTGTCCTGCCTACAGAAAGCTTCCATTTTTATGAATCACCGCTCCACCTGCAAAACATCCTGCTTTTATGTCAATAATAATGACTAAAAACAAGGTTTTTCTTCTCTGAATGTAAGGTTATTTATTTATACCATTCTTTCAATCATAACTGGGATGCTAAAAGTTCAAGTTCAGCTCAGCGATGCACCATGTGTGGATCTAAGACTTCTCTGACCTTGTTTACAATGATTGCTTTAAGTTGGCATCAGGTTTGTTTTGTGCATAAGAGAGAGATTACGTTATTACTCATTTGCATGCGTTCTTTTTCCCCATTTTGTTTTGATAAATCATAGTTTGTCATTTTCAGAGAAGGATTAAATATCATGAATAATTTACTCTTCCTAGATGAGTATCTTTTTCTTCACATTATCAGCTCTTATGTATTTTACCTTACAACTATCCATCTTAAGTCTTTTCCACCAACTTAGTATTTAACTCTCATTTCCAAAGCATCTGAATGTCTGTTTTTGTACTAGGAATATTCAACACAGCTTAATTGGCCTTACCTTGGAGCCTGCCTCCCTTTCTCTCAGTGGGCTTTTGCCTTTCAATTATTTTCATTTTTCTCTGTTGTTTCAAGTGATGTTTTATTGAGGGACTGCCTTTTGTGGGGCTCAGATTTCCATCCAATGTTCTTTTGCCAAAGTTTTTGTCAGCATGAATCTTTAACTGAGCTCAGTAGATATTCAGTATGCAGACCTAAACACCAGAGCGCTTGGCTTTACGCTTAAGGAGTCTTGCTGGTGAGGAAATAATTCCTACATCCTGCAGTAACTAATGTGTCTGACATGTGGTGTTAGACACTGGAAATGGTCATTTTGTTGCAGTTTAAATGCCAGCTAAAATATTAGGAGTCCTGAACTTTTTAAAAATTGCTTTAACATCAGGTCCAGTAAAAAAATTGCACATGTAAACTTGCCAATTTTGCTAAATGTATTCTTTCTGCAGATAAATTGTTTCACAGGATCTCATTCTTTCTTCTATGATTTATGGCTGTCAATAATCCAGAAGTCTCAAATGGACCCATTACCCTCTGGATAGCACAGGCACAACTTCATTTGCAAACAGTGTGTGCCTTTATCAGTCTGTAAGTTTCTAACAGATGGATCCCAGCCCAATAGAGGGTTTTTTTTCCTATTTACTTAAAATGTAAATGAATAGCTGTTTGCACACATGAACTGCATTAAGTGAGCATTTCTGTGTGGCTTCAGAGAGACAAACCCTGGAGATGTATGTCACTCAAACATGGTGAGAAATCAGTGTTTGGAAATCAGAAATGTGATAAATGGTGCAAATCACAAAAAGTGTATTTATTACTCTAATCTAAATGCTATGGCTATATTAAAATAAGGAAGGATTTTATTTTGGGTTAGGTAGTATCCTAACAAGAAAAGGAAGAGAACTTAGCAAGTTTTGATACCAAAACTTGGTTTTAGTCCATAAAAAGGTATATTTTTATGCATATATACCTTAGTTTATGCAGCAGAGTTAAGAGTTGCCAAAACAACACAAACATTTATTTTCCAAAGTTGAAACTATTTATGACTCATCGCACTGTTTATATATTTTAGCTCCTCAAATGTGACCCTTTTGTCTGTTTTGATTTAATTTCTTTTTTTTTTCTTTTTTCAGAAGAGCACAAAACATACTTTGAATTTGTGTTGAAAGATATCTCAATAATTTTGATCATGAAAGTGACTAGGTTCTAAAAAAGAACACAAGTGGAGTATGTCTGTCTCTCTCACATAACCAAATGTTTGATATTGCTCTCAGTTTCTTTCAGATCGTGACCCAGCAACCTTTCCCTTCCGGCGTTAATTACTGCTGTGGCTGACTTTCTGTCTTACACTGCCTGTTTCTGTTTTTACTTCACTTCTCTTACATCTAACTTTTCTGTGCTTTCCAGTAATCCTCAAATTCATTACTCCTGTTACAAAATATACTGCGTGTCTGCGTGTTCGTGTGAGAGTCTTGTGACACAGTGACGTGCATCACTGTGGACTTATTGACATCCTTGGAGTCTTTTTTTGGGTCAGCTGACCTAAATAGTCCATTCTCATAGGTTATTAAGTCGAGGCCAATCTTCACTAAGAGTCAAGTGACATACTGACTTGTGTGTTAAGCTCACACCCTTTAATGGCTTGGCCAGATTTAATCTCGTGCATTTTGTGCAAGCTCTCAGAGGAGCAGCTACCATATCTTGTTTCAGCTTTGATTTGAAACATTCTGGGAATGACCAAAACAATGTATGGATGCCAACTCATCTAAAGCAGACAACAAATATTGCACCTTACCGCTGCAGAATGTCACAAAGTACAAGTACAGTTATCACTCAGTGAGGTAAATTAGAAATCTAAATTCAAGAAAAAATGACAAACATAAATGCATGCAGAAAAAATGGATGGCATTCATAAGGGATGGTACGAGATTCTCAGTAAAATGATAATGATATTGTAACATGATTTATTTTTATTCTTATTTTGATACAAGCACAACATAACATCTAAACTTAGTAATAGTTTTGTAGTGCTGACAAAGGAAAATATATTTGTCCAGTTTTCTTTTTGTGCTTAACATAGGTTCACCGATTAGTAACTGATATTAGTTGGGATAACTACCGACATAGAGCCAAAACTTTCTATATGATAGATGGGTGGTGGCCCTTTCGATTTTCACACCACCATGTGTTTGTCACCAGAAACATTTCCAAACAAACCTTCATCTTTATTTAATAAAAGCCTTCTTTTCAGCCAAGTGATAGGTGTGTAAAAAAAACATGGAGGACGGGGAATGATGCTTTACACAACTTGGAAAAAGTTGGATGACTACTGCATTTTTCTTCTAGGTCATTAAGAGGACTTTTGATTAAATATTTAAAAATGATATAATGGACAGAATGTGATTTACAAATTCTAACCCCTTAAAACCTTGGTATACCAGATACCATTATTTCAGCTCATGATACTTGTTTTTTTAAGACCATGTAAAAAAAAAACAAACAAAAAAACACTGGAATCTTCAGCTGCAGACAAAGAGGAAAAAAAATGAGAAAAATCTGGAAACTATTAAGAAAACTGAGGCACCAGTGAGACAAAACAGAAAAAAGGATAAAGATAAGAGTCCAAAAAAGTATACAAAGTTAAGAGGAAGTGGAAAATCAAGTCGAATAAATCTGGTTTGAAATCATATTTACATTTAGAAAAAAAGGAAAATAAAAGAGGTTAAGGCTCGATATGAAGGTGGATTTCTGTTGTAAAAAAGATAAAATGCAAACTCACCAAGCTGACTGCGTCTCTGAGCGTAGGCTACCACCACTGCGGCCAGAACTACACAGCACAACGATGTCACAAGGTTTGCCATCTGTAAACACACACACAGCAAAGTCAGGAGTGCGTGTGAAAGCAGGAGAGCGTGTGTGTGCGCCTGTCTTCCTGACTGACTGACGGACGGACGGACCCATAGTCAGCCCCATTGTAAGAGATGGAGAGATAACCATTTCCTGCCTTCTCTGAATCTTGTACTGTCTATCTTTTTTCACTTCATTACACTCCCTAATGTGTCCTTTTTTGTGTACTTCAGATATTTAAATCAAGTTATCTCATTCCCCTGTTCTTCTTGTCCTCACTAAAGTTGTTCATATTAGTGGTTGTTTCTATTTGCTGTGATGTACATTCCCCCTCCGTTTCTGTCGCTTTCCCTCCATTCATCAGCCTAATGGGCCCATCCTTACTGGGATGGGCCACGGCCAGCGGCCCTTAAAGGTATAGCACAAAACAAGCAAATACGGCTTTCACATAAAAAAAAAACATGCATGGATAATCATTTGCTTCACAAAATAAATGCAAGTGCCCACATTTTACTATGTGACTCAATTCTAGCTCCTAAACAGGCTTTTTGAGAGTTGCAACCTGACACTTAGGAAATTGTAGAATTGAGTATTAACTAAGGATTTTTTATTATTATTTTTATTATTATTATTATTTTTATTATTATTATTATTTAATGTATTTTTTATAATCTCATCTTCTACAGTAAGCAAAATGTGCTTATGTGTCACCAGTAAATTGAATCATTTGGATATAAATCTTTACATTGAGATGTTGACTTTTTTCCACGCCTAGCTTACATTGCAAGATTTTAAGAGTTAAAACAATAGCTGGAGCTCCCTGGAATTCCTGACTATGTCCAAGTACAGCTGAGCTGCGTGAAGTCATGCCAGCAAAGGGACTTGAACCCAAATCTTCCCTTCAAAATGTGTCTTTTCCTTCGACTATCCATCTCCTCTTGGCTGTTCCCGCGTCTCTTTCCTCTGTTCGTCAAAAAGAAATAGTTGGCACTCATACACACAAAGGTTGTCTGCGGGTCTGCCTACTGCTGAGATTTGCACCGAGTAAGGTGTGTGCGTGAAGAACAGAGTGAACACTTTAAATAGAGCCAAAGAAAGAAAGTGAATTTCCTTGTACTTTTGAGGCAAAGCTCCAGCTGATAGTAACGTCTGTCATATCCCATTTGCTCTTGCTCTATGTTTAGCTTCAGCTATGAACTTACTTTTTTAAAATTCTGCTTTTTTTTTACTTTCTGACTATTGCTTGCAGTCTCTCTCTCTCTCTCTCTCTCTCTCTCTCTCTCTCTCTCTGTCTGTGTCTTCATCTCCCAATTCCCAAACTACATATCGTATCCGTCTCTCATTATATGTTAGGCGGAACGTGAATCCCACAACAACATGTTAAAGCATCTCACAAAGGGGGGGGGGGGGGGGGGAAAAAAAACCCCGAACACAGGTGTTGAAGTTTAAGAAAAA